ACTCTCTTTTCTGGGCTGGGAAGGTGGCTCAGTGGTAGAGCACTTGCCTTGCATGCATGAGGCCCTGAGTTCGATTCCTCAGCACCACATAAGCAAAAAGGAAAAAGCCGGAAGTGGCGCTGTGGCTCAAGTGGTAGAGTGCTAGCCTTGAGCTGAAGAGCTGAGGGACAGCGCCTAGGTGGTGAGTTCAAGCCTCAGGACCAGCACCAAAAGCAAAAACAAAACAAAAAAAGGTGGATGATACAAAACGTTGTCACCTTATCTGACAATCTGCATCATTGGAGAAGATTAACCTAAGAGGCCTGAGCTCAGGAAGCGTAGTAGGTTCCCAGCATGAAATGTCGAAGTGCACTGTGGAACACAGACATGTGTCCCCACCTGGACCTCCCTTTTCCCACCTGTCACGGAGAGCCTGCTACAGAAGGCTACTGTATGCATAGGAAACAGTATCTCTGGAAGGGGGGCCTGGGGGGCAGCCCTGACAGTCTTCCAGAGCAAGGCCACACTTACGATGGTCATATCCCGGCGAGGAGGGGGTCTCTGCCTCATCTTTGGTGATCCTATAGAGAAATAAGATGTGTTTCATCCTCGAGCAAGGCTCCACAGACAGAACCCTGCGTGTGGATCCGGGGAGGCCATGTACTTCCACAGTGCACAGCTCAAGCTCTCCTCACCCGACTCAGGATCCTCTGTCAGCTTGGCCTTTCCTGGATCTTTTGTACATAGAAACAGGGGTGGAGGTGTAGCTCAAGGGGTAGAGCACCAGCCTTGAGTAGAAAAAGCCAAGTGAGAGTGTGAGGGCCCGAGTTCAAGTACCAGCACAAAAAATGCACCGCTTCTCTGAGCCATCTGCCGGTGGCTCACTCATGTAACCCTAGCGACTCGGGAGGCTGAGATCTGAGGATCATAGTTCAAAGCTAACCTGGGGAAAAAAGTTCCTGTGAGACTTTTATCTCCGGTTAATCAAAGTAGTAGAGCACTAGCCCAGGCCTTGAGTTCAAGCCCCATGACGGACAATGAAACAGAACAGAAGGGGATGGAGCCTTGAGTAGTGGAAAGCTTCGCAGCACGGGACGAAGCACACGGCTGGGTCTAGACTCACAGGCCTCCAGCACGGGACAAAGCCGCATGACCCTTCTGCAGGGCAGCGCAGCCAAAGCACATGCCTCCGGGGACAAGAGTGCAGACAGAAGTGACAACGGTGGAGCTCCTGGCTCACGGCGGGCAGGCATCAATGTCGTGATGCTTTCCTCTGTGCTCTAGAGCAAGCCCAGCGTAAATAATACATAAAGAGGGGGAACCACACGCTGCCCGGCTGACTTCAGGTCTTTTCACCCTGGAATTAGACTGCTTTGGTCTGTGCCTCAAGGTCAGAAGGCTGAATGCGATGGTCCAGGGCCTGGCTAAGGGTTTGTTTTGCCAAGCTGATGCACGTGCTGCCGGAACTGGCGTGTCAGGGTCTACCCGGAGTGGCCAGCAGATGGAGCTCGTGTGTGCGGTGTACTCACTCTGCTTCACGTCGCCGTCGGACGCCAAGCGGCCTTCACAGCGGCCTTCCCTCTGGTTGTTGAGCAGATCCTTCTCCCTGCCCGTGGCGGTCTGCTGCCACCCAACGCCGTCCAGGTCGACGGTCCCTGCGTGACTGGAGGAGGCAGGACCCAGCTTCAGGGGCTCTCCTCCGCTCTTCTTGAGATAGGACGCGGGGGCCCACCCTTCTTTGCCCTGGAACCTGGAAGGAGGAGCAAGGACATCAGTCACGCTATCTGCTCTTGCTGATGGTCACACCTCAGGCACTGGATGGCAGATGCCCAGGGCCAGAGGCTGGCCCACGGCCTTCTGATGGGGCCTGAGCCCCTGGCTTGAACTTCGGGCCTTTCCTGTCTGGTTGCAGCACCCATCTACCAGGCTTGAGGTCCCCAAATGTACCACTGTCTGTCAGTCACATGAGGCTGCTCTTGGTGTTCTTCTATCTTCAGAAAGCCCTTTCCCTGCTCCTTCCTGCCGAGAACTTGCTTCCTGGATTTGTTGACACCATTCTTCATGCAAGCCCTTCCTGATCCCAAGCCCTGTCTCCATGGCTTCCTAACGTCCATAAAGTGCCACACTGGGCTGTGGCCATCCTGTCTCCCAGTCAGAGTACGCGATTCTGGGGCAGGGACTGTGGCTGGTTCAGCTTGCTGCTGGTGGCCTGGCTGCCAGTGAGATGATGGAGAAATGAAAGGAAAAGATGCACTGGACTCTTAAAGTCGTGGGGCTTGAACTCTGGGCCTGGGCGCTGTCCCTGCGCTCTTAGCTCAAGGCGAGTGTTCTACCACTCAAGCCACAGCACCACTTCCAGTTTTCTGGTGGTTTATTGGAGATAAGAGTCTCATGGACTTTCCTGCCCGGGCTGGCTTTGAACCATGATCCTTAGATCTCAGTCTCCTGAGTAGCTGGGATTACAGGTGTGAGCCACTGGTGCCCAGAGGAATGGCAACTCTTTGGTACAACTACTTAAATAAAAGATATTTTTTAAAAAGAAGTGAAAGGACAAGTGAACAAGCTGGGTGCCAGCTGGCTGGAGCCACAGAGCCTGCAACCGGGCTGTCCCTGACAGTCAACACCATAGGGTAACAACAGCAATGATCAGGAGAAAAGGCACTGTCCTAGGCGCTTCATGGCCTGCCTTGGGAGGGAGGGACTGTCTACAGCCCCAGAGCTCCTGGTCCAAAAGCTTCAAAGGCTGACCGTTCCTGAGCACCACTGGGACACCCAGGAAGTGCCACACCTCATCCTATGGGAGGGGCAGCCAAACGCCTGTATATGCAAGGCAGGTCTGTAACAATGAATTTCATGGCTAGAATGGTATCTCATCCCCAAGAGCCCTCCTTTTATACATGCAACTATTCCAAAATTTAAAAGCATTCAAAACCCAACTGCTTCTAGTCCCAAGGATTTCAGATAAGAGATACTCAAATCTGAATTCAAATTTGTTTTTTCACTATGGTCGCACCACGGAGTTTCCATGTGTGAGAGGCATCCTAGCCAGTGCCACTCCCTCTCCCTCTCCGCTCCCTCTCCCTCCCACCGCTCCTCCAGCTTTCAGGCACAGAGATGTCGAGTGCCTGAGGCAGAGGTGGATTCAGACCCCTTAACCTGCGTTTGGTGGATCCTTGGGGGCGGCTGCCAGTGCACTGAGCAATGATAGGGACCCTGCCAGACCAGCTCTCTTTCCCCCACAAAAGGAATTCAGTGAGTGTGATGATCAGCTAATTTTCTGCACAACAGAATTCAGTTTAATGGCTACAGCCAGAGGTGAGTGTGGTCCAGAGCTGTGCAGGAGCCAGCACACACCGCTCATGTGCTAACAGTGCACACACCTGCTGAACTCCCCGCTTGGTGACAGCACACTGGTGACTGAGACTGGGCTCGATGGAAGCATTTACACCATGGAAACTGTTAAACATAACGCAGAGCATCTTTCTCATAGTAAGCTGGTTTACAACACCTTTCAAAACATCTTCACACGTGTGGGGAAAGATGAGTACCAAGCTTTATGTGGACAAATATTTTGTTGAGTCATTTCAAAAACTAAACAGGAGCCAGGTACCAGTGGGTCACATCTGTAATCCTAGCTACTGAGGAAGTCTGAGTATCACAGGTCAAAGCCAGCCCAGACAGGAAAATCCATGAGAATCATCTCCAATTAACTACCAAAACACTGAAAGTGGAGCTGTGGCTCAAGAGGTAAAGTGCTAGCGTTGAGCACAGAAGCTCAGGCCTTGAGTTCAAGTCTCAGGAACAACACCAAAAAATTTTAAAAGCAAGAAACTAAACTAGATATGTCTGGATTTTAATGGGGAAAAAAGATTCTTTAAAAGCGCAGATGTGGAGACCAATTAGAAATCTCAGAAATTCGGTGTTTGTCAATCTTACAATATCCTGTAAGAGGGAATACATCTTTCCTTACTTGGAAAACCTCAGGCTAATGCAATCTGTGCGCCTAGCATGAGACAGGCCATCACTGGAGGCCCGATGCCAGAGCAGAGGCCTTGGATGAGGAAGTCAAGTCTCGGATACTGGTTTTTATCACTTTCCAGCCTCAGGTGAACCTTCATCTGAGTACAGCCCACCCTGACATCCAGACCACAGCCTCAAAAGAGGCCCCAAGGGGGCTGGGAAGGTGGCTCAGAGGCCCTGAGTTCGACTCCTCAGCACCACATAAGCAAAAAGAAAAAAGCCGGAAGTGGCGCTGTGGCTCAAGTGGTAGAGCGCTAGCCTTGAGCTGAAGAGCTGAGGGACAGCGCCCAGGCCCAGAGTTCAGGCCCCACGACCGGACCCCCTCCCCCCCCAAAAAAAAAAGAGGCCCCATGTTCAATCAAGTACTCCTGAACTTCATACCCACTAAAATGTTGGGCTAGAGTGCTATGTAGACAGACAAGATCAGAGTCGCATACAGCGGTCATACTCTCTGAGGTGCAGCTGGAGAGTGCCGTTGCTGTGCATACGTAGTGTGCTTGCACAAACCTGGCTGGTCTGGCTGGTCACACACACAGGCTCAGGAGCACACGCACGGTACAGTGGGTTGCAGGGGAGTGGTGAGGCGCACAGTGGGTCTCGGTGGAGCCACAGGAGGTGTGACTGACCCAGAGAAGATGCAGTGTCCGCTTACTCGGGACCCACTCTTGCCCAACAGTACTGTGCTTTGCTAGTATGGACTTTAGGCAAGGATATGGGCTAAGAAGGAGGCCAGAACAGCCGAGAGGTAGAAATGTCCTCTTGCAGAAACTTTGCCCCTCCGCAGTACTTAGAGATCTCTGGGAAGGTGGACCCTATGTGACCCCAAAGCAGCAGATACCTGATCTTCCACCAGCCTTCCAGGTTTTTCTGGATGACTTCCACCATAGCCCCTCTCTCCAGGTTCATCTCATCCTGGTCACGAGCTGCATACGGGTAGACAACTGTGTACTTCTCCTCTGTAGCAACAAGATGCGGGAGTAAGAAATGGACTTGTTCCCATAAGGACAGAGAGGTGACTTCCTCCAGAAATTCCAGTGCACCGACAGGCCACACGGAGCCGGGCCACTGTACGCAGCCGCAGGACAAGGGGCTTAGGGCAGTCCGGGTGGCACTGCCATTCCCTCCCTGGATCTGGGCTGCAAGGTTACCGTTGTAATCTCTTAGGGAAACACTCTGACTCACGGCACGCTAACCCCGCATTTCAGGAGTAGCCTTCTAACATAACACTGATTAATTTGTTATTTCATGTCTACTTCCTTGCATAAAATTGTAGCACCACAAAGGCATGCTTTGCTATCTCATTCATTCCTCCATCTCTAGCACTGGGCAATATTCACTGACTGCAATATTTAGTCACTGTTTAGCGAGTAAGCCTCTAGTTAGTAAATGAAAGGCCCAAAGGCCTGCTAGGAGCCACTTTGGTCACCCAGAGGGAAAATTCCTGGTAGGTTTCCCTGGTGAGGTGGAGAGGGGTCAGGTCAGAGATAAGCTGCGTGGGCAGTCAGTGGCTTCATGCTGAAACTGCCACCCAGGAGGGCACATAGGTGATGCTCATGTCCTCTACCCGCCCAGGAGGGCACACAGGTGATGCTCATGTCCTCTACCCACCCAGGAGGGCACACAGGTGATGCTCATGTCCTCTATCCACCCAGGAGGGCACACAGGTGATGGTCATGTCCTCTACCCACCCAGGAGGGCACACAGGTGATGCTCATGTCCTCTACCCACCCAGGAGGGGACACAGGTGATGCTCATGTCCTCTACCCACCCAGGAGGGGACACAGGTGATGCTCATGTCCTCTACCCACCCAGGAGGGGACACAGGTGATGGTCACTGTCTTCTACCCACCCAGGAGGGGACACAGGTGATGGTCATGTCCTCTACCCACCCAGGAGGGCACACAGGTGATGGTCACTGTCCTCTACCCACCCAGGAGGGCACACAGGTGATGGTCATGTCCTCTACCCACCCAGGAGGGCACACAGGTGATGCTCATGTCCTCTACCCACCCAGGAGGGCACACAGGTGATGCTCATTATCCAGCTGGCAGTTGAGTTGCATTTTTCACTAACTGTGTTCTAGTCCTTGGATCTAGCTTCTGATCATTCATGTCTAGGGTGACTTCTACCCCAGTTCTGTTGTCTCCCTGCCCCAGAAGGCACAGGCCCACCTTTTACGCCCCATGTTCCTCCTGGGAGCTGCTGTTAGCTGCGTGTACCACAGCCGCCATGGAGGACTAGTGTCACAGGGAGAGCTGCTCATCAGTGCAGAGAGCTGCAGGGAGCAAGGGCAGCTCTCACCCCCGTGTCCTCAGCTCGGTCTGGGACGGAAGTGGCTGCATGTCCCAGGGCCGCCGGTGAGGGGGGGAGAGCTGTCCTGCTTTGGTTGTGTCAGCCACCACGGGGTGACCTGCCAGCCATGGCTGGCTGGCCATGGTCAGTCTCTCCTTGGGAAGATGCCATTGCAGTGCAGCAGAAGGGCTTTCTAAGCACTCAGATGTGGTTGACCGATGGGTGGAGCTGCTGGCCTGTTCCACGGCCCGCCTGACTCGCTGTACACATTCTGGGTTCAGCACAGCCAGGGGTCCCTCCAGAACGCTGTGGGCTCAGGTGCTGTGCTTGGACCAGAGGAAGGGACTGTGGCCCTGTCCATCATGGAAGTTCTGTGCAGTCCAGCTGGGGTTCTTGCCCACGTGCAGTAAGTCCTGCAACTGTCCTCTAGTACCTATGTCCTCTGGACAGGGGATTGTCTAGCACCAACGAGGCCATCTCTGGGGTCCACAGGATGCTAAGCATATCCAGACCAGCTTAGGGTGGAAGCCTTGTAGCTCTCACAGTGGACATCTGCTGACTTGGCCTGGCTAGCCCTCCCCCGCCCCGCTCCCCCCACATGTGGTTTGGGAGGCGCTGAGCTTAGTACTCCGGGAGGGTCAGTGTCTGTGGTCTTGCCTGGCCATGGCACTGCAGCTCCCTAGCAAGTGCTTGGTGCTTAGCGAGGGTTTAGTCCTGGGCCTCGTGTTGAATAAGAAGACATTTCCTGAAAGGGTCCTGGACATGCTGCCACTGTGGCATCCACAGACAGGGGACAGAGCCAGGGCTGGCCACGGGCCTAGCCGTGCATCAAGCTCATCTTATCCTGGACTTGTCAGTGGTAGAAGCCAATACTCCTCCCTTCATGCTTAACCTGACAGGTTTTGGGTTTTTTCCCCTTGTGACTGAAATGAGCTGGTGAAAGGAACCGGCTACGGGTTCAGCATTATAGGGTCTCCGGATTTGTTTTGAAGCTGAGAACCCACAAATGTCCCGTGTCCATTCCTTCTCTGCCCGCATGCCAGAAGACACACAGAAGACGACAAGACCACGTTTCTCACATGCAGCAGGCAAGGGTGATCCCACAGCAGGGGCTCATGCAGATGCAAGGACCTGACTCCAAGCACAAACAGAAGGAACACCGGGAGGTAGGCACCTTGACGCCAGCTGATGGCGTACAAGTCTCCCAGGGTCCGGCGGCGGCCCGCAGGCTGGGGCAGAGACCAGTACCTCCAGGAGTCTTGGTGGACAGCATGTGGAGGAGGGCAAAAGGCAGAGGTGAGGGCAGAGCCCTCCTGGGCCTTGAGGCCAAGGCGAGCAATACTTAGGAGAGCCCCCGTTGTCTGAGGAGAAGGGCCGGTGTGCAGTGCTAGCCTGAAGCTTGAGTGAGGAGCATCCAGCAGACCCAATGATTCCTAGCATGAGTATGAAGAGGCACCAAGAGAAACCTCCAGACCCGTCTTTCAGCTCTGTGGCTCTCAGCAAATGCAGCCCTTTCTCACCCTGCCTGCCTGCAGAGGCAGCACCGACTGTCTGAGGGATTCTACCTCCCCTTCATCTGACCGCGTGCCGGACCCGGCCACTCACGCCCAGAGGACCTTGAAACCCAGAGCAGACCAACTCTGAGGGCTGTTGGCTGTAGTTCAGCTCAACTCAAAACCACATGCAATCTTTTTGCTCATCTTTGAATTTAGGGATCTCCCCCTTCTCCTCACCCTCTTTTCTGATACATATTTACTTAACAGTGGCTTTGTGCTTTCTCAAAACAGTCCACTGAAAGACCCAAGCACTCAAGCCTTAGTAGACAAGAGCTAATTTGCCACCTGCTCTTCATTATTTGTTATTCTAGGTTCTTTTCATGTAAGACTTTAACGTTTCTTAATCCCATAAGAGAATCATTTCCACTTTCAGATGAAGAGGCTGAGGCTTAGAAAGATTATATTGCTAGCACCAAATCAATCGAGACCCAAATTTATGTCTGACCCCATAACATCTGAAGTAGTCTTGATGCATTCGCACTTCAGTTTTAGGACATTTTGGGGACAGTTGGACTAGCAACACTAATCGCTGGTGCCTCAGGAATCGCAGGACAATGAAGTGTGTGTGTGTGAGGCCCAGGCAGGGCTGTTTGCATCCACAGAGAGCGTGCCCATCTTTAAACAGATGGAGTCAAATGCCACAAGTGAGCCAGAAGCAGCCTGGGTCTTGGCCACTGGCAGAGTTCTAGGGAGGAATAGTCACGGTATTGGCGGTGGTTGGCGACGGTGGTACAGGCTGAAGGCCCGGCTATGCCAGGGAAGGCCTCTGAGAAAGTGTGGGATTGCTCTGCCGCCCTGATCCATGGACTGCTTCACACTCACAGGCTGAGCCAGTGAGAAACAGAGGCTACAGGGCAGGGACCAGAGAAGGGGCAACTGAGCCCGAGTGGCAGGGCCTAGGTGCCCCAGTGACCCCAGGAGGACCTCTTCCTACCTTCCTCGGGCTGGAGGGAGAACTCGTCCTGCACGCCATCCTGCCCTTCAAGGCAGGTGGCAGGGACCCAGCCTTGCTCTTCAGCGGTGCTGACAAACCACCAGCCTGTAGAGGTGAGAGTCCGGGGAGATGTTAGTGCGACAGGCCTGGGCTGAAGCAGAATACACAGCTGCCCCTGGATGGGGGGGGGGCGGCTCTAGGACTATTCTGAGCACACCAAAATCCAGAGGCTCACAGCCTTTCTACAAAATGGTGTAGGAGCTCATGCCTGTAGTCGCATCTACTCAGGAGGCTGAGATCTGAGGATCGCAGTTCAAAGCCAGCCTGGGCAAGAAAGTCTGTGAGACTCTTATTTCCAGTTAGCCCTAAAAGCTGTAAGTGGAACCGTGGTTTATGTGGTAGTATGCTAGTCTTGAGCACAAAGTCTCAGGGACAGGCCCCAAGCCCTGCGTTCAAGCCCCAGGACTTCCATATATACATATACAAAATGGTAAGGTGTTTGCATAAAGTCTATATATTCCTCCTACATGTTTTGGGTTTTTAAAAAATTTTTCAGTGCAATGGCCACTCTGTGTCACTTTGTATGTTCCAAGCAGGCTTAGGCTGTTCCTCTGTGGTATCTCAATTAATCCCTGAATAGCTGGCGGCGGCGGTGGGGGTGGGGCGGAGGGGGTGTCATAAAATCAATAGCCAGAGAAATGACTCGACCTGGCCCACTGAGCAATCTGAAGTTCAGGTGGAGTCCAGGCTCTGAACCTCAGTCACTGAATCCCCACCAGCGGCCCCTGGGATGATGGTAGGCTGAGAAGACCCCTCCCTCCCAGATCCTTGCCCCTGCTAAAGCCTCGCTGTAGAGGCAGGCTGTCCGCAAACCACAGTCCCCCTGCCTTAGCTTTTGGAGAGCTGAGGTCACAGGTGTGGCAACCAGGCTGGCTCCTAGAGGGCCTTCTTGGGGATGCCTTGAGGAAAGAGATCAGGAGCGCATTTCTAGTGCACCATTTGATCCGCATCTCCAAGTACCCGAACACCAGAGGGTTATTTAGGAAACATGAACATGGGGACAAATCAGCTGCATGTGACACAGCAGGATGCTGGCGAGGTGTGACCACATGGATATTCCAGCCTGCTGCTCAAACAGAAGCAGCTGCTAGAAGAACAGGAGCCAGATCTGGGAAGACCAGCCGGGCGGGGATGTTTGTTCCTGAGTGTCACGTGCCTTTGGACCCGGGGCCTTGGTGATGCTGGAAGGGGAGGGCCAGGGTTCAGGTCTCTACCTGACTCGTTCTTCTCGATGATGTCAACCACCTGCCCCACACTGAGGCTGATCTCCGAGCTCTCCTGCTTCTGGTAGTCTGCCACCACCACATACTGCTCCAGAACCATGGGGTCTCCTGACGTCAGGTCGCTCCCTGTGGACAGCAAGCTCAAGCTCAGTGCCACGTGTGCAGGGGCAGGAGGCAGAAGACGAGCTGAAAGCCAGGGACATTCCAAACACAGAGAAAGTGCTACCAGACTCATCCCAAGGGTGCTGCAGCTCTGCCTTCTTCATTCCTCTGCTGCTCACACTGCAGCTTAGCAAGTGTATATTCTGTGTAAACACTGGGAGCTCGAGCTACCTGAGGGTGTGGATCATGTGACACCTAGCCTCGAGGAACTCAAGCTGGTCAAGGAGGCAGGCACACACACAAACACATACATACACAATCAAGTTTGTGCGGATTGCTGGAAACAGCAGCACGCTGGGGCAGAAAATGAGCAGTCTGGGAAAAAGGGTATTAAAGGGGTGGTCACTACAGAGGGGACAGAAAGTAGACACCTTCTACTGTTCTTTGGGTATCACCAAGTTGAACCCTAACGGTAAGGCTAGTCAGTGCCACATTTTATCCACAGGAGCCTAGGGGGAGAGAGGAACTGCTCCTTCCTTGCCGCCGGCTCTGTTTTCAGTGCAACAGCTGCTCTGTGCCACTTAGTTTGTGCCAAGCAGGCTTAGGGAGGAGTTTAAGAATGGGAGGGTCTGAGGCGGACCAACTCTGCACTGGGGAAGGGCTGGAGTCCAGTGCGTGCGAGGACAGCAGTAAGCGTCTCACAGGGAGGAGAGGCCTTCAGGGGAAACCATTTCAGTCTTGAAGCAGAAAGCCACTTCAGGGCTGTTAAGGGGCAAATGACAAGATGAGATTTACATATTTAAAAGCAAACTGGCTGCCATGAGAATGGAGAGAGCCCACGGTGAGCAAAGGAGAGCAGCAGTGGTGGAGGATGGCATGGGAGGGCCTCCTGGAAGCTTCCAGAACACACCGTGTAGTCAGTGTCCCCTGAACCTGGGTAGTCCTGGCTAAGGGCAAAGATACTCAGAATCCAGGTACTTTAAACTTAAGGAGGCATCTGTGCTGGCTGCTAGTGGCTAATGCCTGTAATGGTGACTACTGAGAAGGCTGAGATCTGAGGATGGTAGTTCGAAACCATCCCAGGTAGAAAAGCCCATGAGACTCTTTTTTTTTTTTGGTCCGGTCATGGGGCCTGAACTCTGGGCTTGGGCGCTGTCCCTCAGCTCTTCAGCTCAAGGATAGCACTCTACCACTTGAGCCGCAGCGCCACTTCCGGCTTTTTTCTTTTTGCTTATGTGGTGCTGAGGAATCGAACCCAGGGCCTCTGGCATGCAAGGCAAGCGCTCTACCACTGAGCCACCTTCCCAGCCCCTCCATGAGACTCTTATCTCCAACTAACTACCAAAAAGCCAGAAGTGGAGTTGTGGCTCAAGTAGTAGAGTGATAGCCTTACGTGAAGAAGCTCAGGGACAGCCCTCTGGCCCTGTTCAAGCCCAGCGACACTCGCCCCCAAAAAGAAGTGTCTGCGGTTAGGCACCCAAAAAGGAGGCTGCTGGGCAACTGTTAGAACAGCAGACAGTGTGGAAGGGGGACGGCCCAGCACTGGCAGGCCTGGGGCCCTGGGGCTACTGAGTAAGCACCTGATCACTGAGCTGTGCTCCTACACTCTCCGCAACCACTTGTAAGTTGTACGGATTCTTCCTCATGGGCCGCAGGATTTGTGCAAGAGGCAGGTTTTCTGTTAGGGCCCACTTTACCATGTCCGATGCATCAGGGTCTGAGACTTTGAGACACTTTGCAAGGAGGGTCTGTCCTGCCCTTCAAGTCTGCCCTCCATACTGGAGACAGGGTAAAAAGCCCAGAAACACGACGTCTAGGCATAAGGCTCTACTGTTCATGGCTTCCCAGTGTTCTTGGGTTCTCCACAGCTTGGGTTGTATGACGGTTAATCTTAACTGTCAACTTGACTGGATTGAGAGCTGCCTAGGAGGCCAGTAAAGCACAATCTGAGTATTTCTGTGAAGGAGTGTCAGAGACAATCAGATCCCAAGGGCTCGGATCTAATAAATGGATCAATCCCTGAGGGAGTCGTAATATGTTGGCACTATTGGCAGGCAGGGGGAGGTGGGCCTCACTGGGGAAGCAGGCTCCTGGAGGTCTTTGCTGGTGGTACTGAACCCTGCTATTATTAAGTGTTGTATCACTCCTGGATCACTGGAAGAAGCAAAGTTAAACTGTTGAAACAGCAATCGTGTTTCATTTTCTGCCACTTGCAGCCAAACCTAAATCATCTAGACATGGTAGGTCACTCTAGTTAGGAGCCCTCTTGCTACTCCTTGTCAGGTATAACTTGTTCCTCTCGCTGAGAGCTTTGTTTTCTGCTCCCTCTGCACTGTGCCTTTCAGCCCTTCCTCTCTGCTCAAGTGACACCTCCCTGAACGTGAGTTCTACCCCACCAGTGTATGTATCTCTTGCTATAGTGTATTTTTTTTCTTGCCAGTCCTGAAGCTTGAACTCTGGGCCTGGGCGCTGTCCCTGAGCTTCTTTTTTGCTCAAGGCTAGCACTCTACCACTTGAGACACAGTGCCACTTCTGGCGTTTTCTGTTTGGGCAGTACTGAGGAATCTAACCCAGGGCTTCAGGCATGCTAGGCAAGCACTCTACCACTAGTCCACATTCCCAGCCCTCGTGTTTTTTTGTTTGTTTGTTTGTTTTAAATGGATACTGTATATCTAACTTGTTTTGTTATTGCCTATTTTTCTATTATAGCACAGAAGCCTGATTCCAGCAGGGACTCTGTTTCCTGACTGCCAGTGTATTCACTCTGTTTGTCAATCGCACAGTTCTATGAGCTCTTTATGTGCAGGATGCTAAGAATGTTTTTGAATATTTTTAGTGTGAAGGAGACTGGGGAAAAGACAGGTGACAGTAACAACAACAAATAATAATGATAATGATGATAATGATAATAATAGTGACGGAGACTGTGCTGCCTGTAAAGTGTGATGTTTACTACCTGCAATTTACTTTAGAGAAAGTGCTGGCCCATCCCTGGCCTAGATCCTGGAGGAATCTACTAAGGCTCAAGGGATATTTAAATAAAAGAACGAATATTTTAAAATTAGTTGCATAGAACTTTTTACCTTAGTTGGAATTAAGATGTCTTTCCTCACATTTTATTTTGCTCATACACCTGTCTTTCCTACAAGACTCTCATTTTTTTAATGCCTGGTCTGGGGCTTGAATTCAGGGCCTAGGCACTGTCCCTGAGCTTATGTGCTCAAGACTAGCACTCTACCACTTGAGCAACAGCAAGGATTACAGGTGTGAGCCACTGGTGCCAATATGCTTTTCACATCTTGTTTGCTTTGTTGTCCTTGAGACACAAACACATAGGTGCTGGATAAATACCAGATAAATACTGCTGTGTGTCTGTCTCGTTCACCTGGTACAGTCTGCATAGTGACTGAACAGAGGATGAATGCAGACTTTGGTAAACCCTGCTCCAGACAAAGCCCTTGGCCTCCTCCTGAAAATACCCAGTGCTGACAACTACCAATAGGCCTTGACCTTCTACAGGCAACCAAAGACCCCTTCTCCTTTCTGGTCAGTAGGAATACCACCTTTGGTTTTGTGACGGTCCAGTTTTAACACCTGACTGTGGCACAGTTATTTCCAGGATCCTGATGAATAGACTAGCCTGGTCAATTCTGCACCAATTCTCCTAACCCATCTGCCAAAAGAATTTGGCAAAAATTATGAGCAGGAACAGAAGCAGGGAGTTGTGAGGCCTGAAGCCAGGACTTGAGCAGGCTGGTGTAGTGATCAGGCCTCTGTCCAGCATAAGTTCACCTGGGATTGTCACAAGGCTCAAGGCTGATACTTGCTCTAAGACTTGCTCTGAGTTTTTAAACTGCAGTTCTCTGCCACACAGTGGTCAGCGGTGAGCACGGAGTTCTTCCTTCCTTCCCTTCTTTCTTTTCCTTCCTTCCTTCCTTCCTCTTCTTCCAGAATCAGTCATCTTTATTTTACTCAGCATATTCAAATTACCAAAACTGGTGAAAAAAAGAATCTGATTCTGTGTGGTCTAACTGGTGCTGCTTAGGTGTGTTTAGGCATCCTGTAGAGACCCCTGTTGTGGGAAATACACAGCCACGCCCTAGAGTGCACGGCAGTCACAGCAGCTCAAGGTCTGGGCAGGCAGCAGAGTTCTAGGCAGGCAGGGAGTATCATGTGGCTCAGAAGGAAATATGAAAGGAAGAGGTCTAGAGAAAGGGGATTTGGCAGTGGAAGGGTGGTTTTTATCGTTAAACAGTTAAAAATAGTCAAGTAGTATACTGCCTAACCTACCACAGAAGCTGCCCATTTATGTATTTTCTTTAAGATGGTATGTCAGCTGGGCACTGGTGGCTCACACCTGTATTCCTAGCTATTCAAGAAGCTGAGATCTGAGGATCGAGGTTCAAAGCCAGTCCAGGCAGAAAAGTCCATGAGACTCTTATCTCCAATAAACCACTAGAAAACTGGAAGGAGAGCTGTGGCTCAAGCTCAAGAGGGCTGGCCTTGAGCTGAAGATCTGAGGACAGTGCCCAGGCCCCGAGTTCAAGCCCCACGACCAACAACAACAAAAAAGGTGGTATGTGTTTAATTTTTAAAAAGACAAGTAGACAACAGTGGACTTTTCCGTCCAGAAATGTACTACATTGCCAGGCTTGCTGAAAGAATCCATAAACAAGGGCTATTTGAGTTATTTTAGTAAGTAAAGGGTAGAAAAACCAAGAACTCAAATGCTCTGTTAAATTGTGGTGAGAAAATGTTTTTCCTGCAGGCTGAGCAGAATTTGAGACCACACTGGCCAGTCTGCAAGACCAGCCAGTCACAAGCAAGCAATGCTGAGGGGAGGCAAACCTTTTCCAGAGCACAGGCATAGAAAGCTTAGGGTTCAAGTCTGCTAACCGTAAATCTCTTCACAATTCAATAAAGATGGCTAGTTCACAAAGCAAGTCTGTGCTCAAAGGTCTGATAAAAATAAGACTAAGGCCAGCATGAGTTTTTAGTCCAAATGGAAAAAAAAGATGCTATTTCCACCCAGCTGAACTATAAATAAATCTATGCCCCATCATTGCAGGTGATGATGTCAACATGGTTACCACAAATTAGAGCTGTGTCTCCCTTTCCAGACAAGTCCACTCATCAAGCCTGCTCCAACCAACACTTTTGTCTTCACAAACGAGAGCTGTCTCTTTCCTGTCTTCCTCCCTCCCACCCTCTTCTTCCAGGAACCCTGTGACCAGCCCAAGAGTTGCAGCTCTCCTTTATTCTTTTCTAAGAGACATGTAATTATTCCAGGACTCAGACTATTCACAGCACTAGAAGGATCCGATGGTCATTGTCAGTGCCCATTAACCAGAAAGAAGGGCTGCACATGCCAAGCAAACGCAAGCATCCATTCCAGATGCCCCATCTCAAGACAGAGAGCCAGGTCCTCTCACTTTCTTTCTTTTTGGTGCCTGGAAAGCTGCTCATGGCCCTGTCCCCAGGAAGCAGTCAAGCTACCAGAGCCAGGGACACTGAAGTCACTTTTCTGCCATTTAAACAATGGCAGAAAAAAATAGCATCAGACAAGTGTAACCCTGGGCCAGAGATCATTAGGAAGAAAGAGAGTTTCCTAATAAGAATAGGAAGAACAAGAACAAGAAGACATGAGGTGAACATGCATGGCAATGGATGAAGCACATTAATTATAACCTGGCTCCCTGAAGGAGCCACAGAGGTGGGACCAATGCTAAGGCTGTCTACCCACCCACCTACCCATCCATCCATCCACCCATCCATCCTTCTACCCACCCACCCACACACCCATCCATCCACCCCGTCCATTCACCCACCCACCCACCCACCCACCCATCCATCCATCCATCC